CAGCAACCTGCCATGCTCCCTGGCGCTGTCTCTTATACACATCTAGATGTGTATAAGAGACAGATGTAGCGCTTACCGCGAATTTCACCACTCGCGAAAATGTCCACAAATTTCAAATTACAGGAAGTACTGTAAACAACAAACTGAATGAAAGGAGAAACCCTGTTATAGGTCGGAAATCTCGGGTAGCACAGCTGTAGCGCGTGATGGATTACGCCACGCCGCATTTAGCATGTTCAGCGCGGGCGTAGTTTGAGACCTGGAAAAAACAATTCCTTTTTTTACCGACTGTACAGGCCTACAAAAATAACTACTAAGAGCCCTACTAGAGACAGTACTACTATGCCCTACTACTACTAGTACAGTGCATAGACTTTGCCAATTTAAAAAAGGCAACCTAGGCATCGTTTTAAAGCTTTCCGTACAACAAAAAAGATTGTGATCGTAGCTACAGTACAATACAGTAAATTAGGCCTAAAATGTAACATTTTGTTAAAATGGCATCCGCGAAAATACCAACACGCAAAATGTCAATAAAGTTGGAAATCGCGAAAAATTCTGTACGCGAAAATAACAACATATACAGTAGTTCATGCCAGTGTAAGTAGTACCAGATATAGGAATTTGGGTCAACCCCGATTTTACGGATACCCGCAATTACGAACGGTACTGGGCCCGTACCGTACGTAATTGAGGGGTTCTACTGTACTATTATTATTACTACTACCACTAACACTATTACCAATACTATTTTACTATTACTAGTATTGATGTGTGACCATTTGTTGATATCCAAACTAAAGAAAATATATTTACATGGCTTGGTATCTGCATTTGTCCAATCAATCTTAAACTGCTTTCCCCTTGCCTCGTCAATTGTGTAGAAATGCCGGTCTTTCAGAGAATCATAATGATCCTCACGGATCTCTTCATACTCCTCTTGAATTTCCTCAAAAAACTCTTGCTTTTCGAGTTCTTGTAATAATGAGGAAACCTACAAATACCAAAACAGATAGCATGAAAGTCTAAAACAAAGTGTACACAACAATATTGAATATATTAACAGAAGTGGAAATAAAACAGTATGATGAATTGTTAAATATATGTCTAAAATTCTCCACATTAGCAGTACAAATGCAGCTATATCTTACAGAAAATAGTAAGTCTAGTTATTATCATTCTTACTCCACTAAGGTCGTACTATGCATCCAAGAGATTTTCAACAGACATAAGCCATTTATTTGCCTTTTATCCAACTTCATTTAATTGACATTTCTACTCACCACCACAACACTTTTTGATGCATCTAAAACATGTATAGCTGGGTTAGAGTAACAAGGAGCTATCTTGACAGCTGTGTGGGTTTTGGAGGTTGTGGCACCCCCTATCAATAATGGTAACTTCATTCCCAGTCTCTCCATCTCCTTGGCAACATGAATCATCTCATCTAGCGAGGGCGTAATCAGTCCAGACAAACCGACAATATCTTTAGTGGTTAGAAGTGAAAAAAAGTGGCTTACATTGTAAAACATTTCAAGATAATAACATTAATAACAATTATGTTAAAAATATTAAAAAGAAAAAATAGCAATATTAATAAATGTAAATTCATATTACCATTTAATAATAAGAATAATATGGTATATATAGCAAACATATCAATTTCATAATAATAATAATATGGTATATATAGAAAACATTAATTTCATGAAGAATTGCATAATGTGCATTTTGGCCCGATTGTTGGATAAAGATTCATATAAATACAAGCAGCAACCTGCCATGCTCCCTGGCGAGTACTCTTAGTTGAGCAAATAGGGAGCTTACAATTTGACTATACGGAGCAGTGGCGTAACATCTATGCACTTGTGCGGCGGTCCGCAGGGCCCCCAACCACATCCTCATCGATCTAGCAACCTGACCCAAATGGGCTTTGTTGATACATAACAGCATAATGCGTCTCCGACATCGACTGTCAATCATATTATATCCAGTGGCGAATTAAAGGGACCCTTAAATCTTTAAAAAGTCTGGGAGTGCCATTTCCGGCCATTTAGAGGTGCTGTAATCATAAATTTTCTTACCTCACCCCCACAACCATGGTGGAGCTGAGGTGGTATTGACCCTTTATGAATGAAAGTCTCTCCCTGGGCAATAATAAACATTCCTGGATTCGCCACTTATACCATTTATTTTTTCGTTAAAAACAAGAATTGCTTGAATATTCTGTCTCAACTATGTACTATAAATGCTCAAAGCCTGTCTCACTTAGTTTCATCTCATGCTTCATAGAATATGTGGGCTCCTCCTAAAATTTCTATTTCAATTTATTTAAAACCTCCGAAATGAAGAGATGACATATATAACAAACATTCACTATATGGTACGCTATACTATACGAGGCCTGCCATTCCAAAACCAGCGTACTGTTGCTAATTGTTAAACTGTATAATTAACATAAGAATGTGCCAGTATTGTATACTTTAGTACAGAGGAGCCATAGTGCCTACTCACAACTTTGGCAATAGTAAGTGGATTCCAGTAAATGACCCTTTGTTTTTAAAGCTTACAATGTAGAGAATAAAAATATAATAAAAAGTTGATTTTAATTTTTTCATCACTGAAGCTAATCTGGGCAGGCAAACCTCATATGGAATGCTATACTATACTATATGAAAAGCT